GGGAACAAGCAGCCTTGAGAAGAACAGATTCTACCAACAACAATCTGGGAGAGCTGCACTCCCATCATATAACCACACACAATGTATAATCATGCTTGCACAGCACAATCACACTTTGTAACCAGTTATAGTAATTTCTCATAGTTAATACAGCAACAAGCTCTATGAATATTCATGTGTGTAACCAATAAAAACAACCTGCAGGGGGGAAGCAAGTTGAAGTGGGTTGGAGACAATTGCTTCCCTGTCGCGAGTGAAAATTTGAGCTCCGTGTGACCTTGTTCCTGAGTGAGTTTCTGTTTATCCAGCAGTATTAGGGGTAAAACTCTGACAACCTGCTGCTAATGTGATGTAAAAATAACCTCCAAACACACACACATTCATGCACAGTCACAGCTCTGACGCCTTACTTGATGCTTTCAACCGAAATGTTCCTGATAACAACAGCATCCAGGGCACACAGGTTTGGTCCTCCAATGGCGTTGAGCTCCACACTGCTGAGACTGTTCCCCTTTACACTCAGATACTTGGAGATGATGGCTTTGGCCTTGATGAGGAGAACCAAGCATCGGTGTGAAGACACAAGCATGTAAAGTAAGCTCACGTTCAGATTTTTTCTTCTGTTTGCTCACCAGAACCGGGTCCCACGGCCCGTTTGAAGCATCCATCAAAGAAGCGAGTGTGTCGATCTGAATAATATTCCACATGTTGATGTCTTCCATTGTGGCACTACGGGACATTGCTCCTAAGATCTGAACCTGATCTTCTGGGATGATGCCGCTGGCACTGTAAGCCTATAAAAAAGTCAGAAGATATTTAGACTCAAATTTAGATAGCAAAAGCTTAAATAATAGAAGTTGTCAGCGTTGCAGACTTTGCATGCCCTCCCTGTGTCTGTGCTGGTTCTCATGCTTCGTTCCAAAGTCCAAAAACATGCACGGGGTTTGGTCGAATACTGATTTTAAACCGACCGTAGGTCAGAATGTGTGTTATGTTTTTCTGAATGCTTCTGTGTGTTAAACCTGCTCTCCAGGAGGGGCCTAACCTGCCTCTAAATCTATGCCAGCTGGGATAGGCTCCAGGAGTTTTTTTGCCACTTACCTCTCGCAACTTGCTGAGAACAATCTTTGTGTAGTTCTGCTCCTGCACCTGGTTAACGAGGGCATCCAAGTTGTCTTTGACAATGGTGGAATTGAGGCAGCTGGTGAACTGACTTATATCATAGTTTAAGGGGAATATTAGATTAACGAGAGTCACACGGTTTATGAATCCCAAAGTGCAGGCTGAAACACAGAAAGAGAAACAATTTTTGGTTAAACAGTAAATTCTCTCTGGATTCTAATACATGGACCAAGCAGTTGACAGAAAGAAACCAACCTGTAGATTCCTCATTAGGAATGGACATCCTTATTGCGCTCTTCAGCTCCCCGATCTTCTGACTGTCCACGTTGTTTTCCTTGAGAACACCCATGAAGTACCTCAAGTAGTTGTTCTTTGTTTTCTGCTCACAATAACAAAGGGAAAGAAAGAAAGGCGCATAAAAAACAAGGTTAACAGCAAAAAACAGAAACCAAAATCAAAAAATGTAAATGTTTGCGGTCATGTATTACTCACAGTGTTGAAGTGATCATAGAAGGTTGAAGACATATACAGCGGCAGCATCCCGAGGTCTTTCAGAGTTTGCTCAGTCCACACTGAAGGAGCTCTGGTTATCACGAAAACAGAACGGTGATTATTATTATGAAGGACAGAAAGGGCCAAATGTAAAAATGTAAACCTGCTGACAAGGAAACAAACAAACAGGAATGAAAATCTGCCACAGCGGTGAAGCGTTTTGCGTACCCATATCTTGTGTTTCCATTAGTTATTCGAGCCTGAACAGCAGCTGCTTGAGCAGAAGTGAGGCTGGGGCAGCTTTTGAGATTTTCCAAGATGGATGAATCTGAGTTTAGGATGTAGGACGCATCCAGGATGCAGCACATGTTTCCCAATACTGATATTTCATCTTTAGTTAAGCTTGTGTTTGTTATGCCCTTTGAAAATAAAAGAAACAGAAATTCATTTCAACTCAAAATATTAAACAAAACCTTGGTGTGATGACAGTTATTTCCATTTCATGCAATTATTAATACATCTAATCTTTAGAGCTCAAGAAGTGATGTGTGGTTCGAGGACTCACCAAGCAGCTCTTTGCGTTTTCAAACAGGGCAGTGCGCTTGTAGCTGAGCGCTGCAGAGAAGACAGAGAAGTCTGCATTTCCCAACTCTGTGAAATAGGCCCTGCAGCTGGCCTGCGGCACCAGTGAGTAACTGCAAGAGGAAACACAAGTGTGACAAGCTGTAGCATCCACCATTCAGCTTTAATTCAGAACAAACAGACAGGATTCTTACTCATAATACAGCAGCACATCTGGAGGGTAGAGGTTGAAGTTGGCAGTATCGTCTTTAATGTAAGTGTACATGCAGGTCAGCTGTTGATTAAAAAAAAGGCAAAATAATTAGCACCTTGTATCGTCCCCGTTTATGACGGAGAACATGTGTAAGAAAGCTCCATGACTTGTTGGATGGTAACGCATTTTTGTAATTTGCCTTCTCCACCAAAGCTGGAAGTCTGCACTTTAATCCACTGTGGTGGTGTGCAGCTGCAACATGCAAAAATTGCATCTTTGTTCAAACATTTATTACCCTAACTCTATGTGCCAGAGTTATATACGGTGTAATCTATATAACCCAATTCACAGGGTATGTATATATTGTTTTAAGTGTGTTTTAAACAATTGTTAGTTTCTCCTTTGATGTCCAATATGTTCACTTTTTAATATTTGAGCAGATATGAAGGAGATTTTAAATATCCCATAAATGCCTTGAATACTGTACCTGAGACTCCACTAGTTTAACCTTCCTGCTGCCTGACCTCCGACAGGCTTTGATCAGGTTCTTGACTTGCCCATTGCCAATGTTCCTTGCTCCAGTGCATGTGAACCCTTGAAGCACAGAGGATGACAAACTACACACACACACACACACACACACACACACTGTTAGCTCTACTCAAACCCATTTGCAGGTTGTTTTGATTGATTTGATTGATCTCCCAGACTGATTTGAACTCACTTGTTTGGACCTCCCAGCTGTGCAGAGGCGCTCTCTGTAGCTACCGACTCAAAGAACAATTCAGCCTAACAAAACAAACAAACAAAAAGAGTCTGTAATAACAGGCATGTAGCACAACACGACAATAAAAACTAAGCTGAGGGTTTCATCTTCTACCTGCTGCCGTTTCCATTCCTTTCTGTTGAGTATGGTTATAACGTCGTTGCTACTGGAGAAGCCCACCAGCAGGGATCGAGGGATCTCAGTGGCCAGGTCATTGGGAACGTTCTGGATCACTTGCACGCTGCTGGTGTTCACTGATATGATCTGAGAGGAGATGGGAAGCATTGTGAGTTAACTCTCTGTGGAAAGCTTTCTATCTTTATCCAAAGCAGCTGATGGAAATGTGCAGTTCAAATCATGCTCAAGTTATAACAGAAAACCTGTCATACCTGACTGACAAAGATCTGCTGGATGATCTGAGGACCAGAAAGGAGGTTTGCCACCAGTGAAGGAGTTTGGGAGGCACTTATCAGCTGATTACCAGAGATGCTCAAGAACACTCTGGAAGGTACACCAATGATGAGAGTGCCCAGACTTATCAGCGATGATGAGCTGTTGATCTGGTGGAAATGATGGAAGCAGCACATGCATAAGTGAACATGACCACAAAGATGACTTTGATTTTTCTAAAGTCATGTTTGTGTCTAAAATCTGCAACCTGTATGATGCCCGAAGACAGCAGAGACTGGATGATGGTCATGGCCTGGCCTTCGCTCCAGCCCGTCACAGTGGAGAGAGTGCCGATGGAGTTTATTAAGTCCTGGGGTTTGATTGAGCTGATCTGATTCAGCGACATGCCAGTGCTTTGGCTGCCGAGGGCAGAAATGACTGTGGAGTCAATGTTCTGACCAAAGTTACCTGCCAAAGCAGCTGTGACCTTCACATGTGTGAGAAAAACTTTGTCAGTAGAGTCAAATTTATGTCTACAGTGTAAATATTCTGGGGAACAAAACTTTATCAAGTTAATAAAAGGAGAGCTTAGTGCTCTTTTATTCATCTTTCCATTTCACCCTTCTTAAAATCACGTACCGCCAGAACAAAGAGCTCTACACCACTCTAAATAATAAACATCAGATTCAAAACAGGAGCCTGCAAGTGAAACTAAACCCAATTTTATGTGGGTGACAAATTTAAGGAAATAATAAACTACTTTTTACCAAAATACTAGGCAAGATGCTGAATCTCTGAAAGATTGAAATCTTATAACATTCATGTCTAGTTGACCTTACCTATCCTGTATTGAATGTAGGTATGTGCATTTCTTAAGTTAGGTTCCCTTTCAGTCGATTCACTCGGTACTAGTGATGGGAATTTCGGCTTGGCTCACCAAAAAGAGCCGGCTTTTTTTGGCTCTTCAGGTTGTTTTGCTACTTTAAGTAATTTATTATCAACAATAATATAAAATTACGCACAAAAGGAATTACTAATGTTACAGAAATGTGGTTTTATTTAGGGCTGTTCGATATAACGATATATATCGGATGACGATATAAAAACATCTAGCGTTTTATTTTACGCTATCGTTTGTTTCCTGGTGTCGCAAAATAAACTGTTTATGGCAATATTTTTTCACCGTTTTGATGGTCACTGTAGTGGCTATATTAATTTCTTAAAGTTCTCTCTTTCTCTTATATTTAATATAACCAAACTACAGACGGACAAGCGCCTGTTTTTATGCGTTGTCATTAGCATTAACGATGGCAAAACCATCGCATGTCCGCTTGTTTATTTTCCACATACACCTTTCAGAATAAAGCTCAAGATCCTGTTGAGATTTTTCAAAATAAACAGAATCATGTGAAAGATGGTGAAGGATGAGAAGCAAAAAAGAGCCATCAGCAATGTTAAGCTGCGCGCGTGCGCAATTGCGCACTGCTGGCACAGCCTCTGCACACAGAAAATCTGCGTTGCGCACAAAAAAATCTAACTTGAATTGGAATTAAAATTAAAACTTTAACAATTCTGTTTTGCAGTGTTAGTCAGTAAGTGACTGGCTGCTCCCATATGGGATTAGAACGATGCCACCTTATCCCATAGTCCAGCCAATGATGCGATTCACATTCGTACATACGCAGCTAATCAACGTCATTGACAGGCTATGACAGCGTCCTTATGTGGCGACACTGGTGTTCCAGCTAGCAAAGCGGCGTGGCTGATGTGGAGTAGTGATGGTAAATTTGATTCTTTTTACTGAATCGAGTTTTAATGAGTCACTCACCAAAGTAAATGGGATTTTTGAGTCATTTGATTCACTGAGTCAGTTGACCAGAGAGTGCAAAACATGTACATTTTCACTCAGACTTAATTTGTTTCTCTTTTCATGTAAATCTTACTTTAGGATGAGTGATTGAAAAAGAAAAACAACTATTTTTAAAGAGCAAAAAATATATATTTCTAAAGAGAACATTTATTTTATTTATTTTTATTTTATTAGTATTTTCCTCAAATGTGTCAAATATATATTTTCTCATCTAAATGTCCACCGAGCTGTGTGCCAGGGGGCGGTAATGCCCCTTAACATTGGTTGCCAACCAAGAAGAAGAAGAAGAAGCTATGAGCCAGGAGGGAGGGGGTGAGTGAGTCCTGAATGATTCGCTTACGCTACAATTCAGCACAGGAGGGAGGGGGTGTCAGTGGAGTCAGTGGATATGAAAATTAGTGACTGTTGCTGGTATTTGTGCAGCAGCTAATTGGGCATCACCGCATACTTTTGTGCGGTCTTATCGGTTGGACGTTACAGCCCCTTCGGTGGCTCATACTGTTCTTTATGCTGGGTCTACCGCACACTAAGGTGGTGGTGGTTCAATTCTGGTTCGGTGGCTGCTCTGCAGGGCGTGTATGTATGTCCCATGTGTTGTACCGAGTAAATCGACTGAAAGGGAATGAATAGTTATGTCTATAATTTCTGTTCGGAGAGGAACAAGGTACAACACAAGGTGGCCCCACTGAGCAGTTTGGGTCGGTGAAGAGCGGCTATCAAACTGAGGGATGACTGTGATGACAGTCCAGGCGGGGTTGTGCACATGTCACCACAGGCGTGAATAAAGGTTTCTTCAGCCAGGACATGCAAGGGCGTGATATCCTATACTTATGTGTTGTACCTCGTTCCTCTCCTTCAGGGAACAGAAGTTATAGACATAACTATTCATTTTAGCAGCAGACTGCACACATAGCTGTTTTTCTTTTCTTTAAATGTTTCTTACTTGTGGGTCCAGGTCCGTACAGAGAACTGTGAGATTCTGCAGAACTATCATACTGTCGCTTGGACTCAGTTGGGTAAATGCTGGACCAGGAGCGACACACCGAAACAAGATAGGAAGGCTGCAAAGAAGGTTAAACAACACTTACAGAAAAATGCAGGATTTGTGGCTGGAGAACGCAACATATTGTATAGATTTAAACTCACAGTAAGGGGTTGAAGTTGCTGTCCTGTTGATATAAAAGGGCGGTGTAGTACTTTGTGAGGTTTGCAGGTAAGAAAGAGGTGTTGAAAAGAGCGATGTTCTGAAGGTTCACTGTGAAGACCTGAATAACCTGCAAGGAGGGGAGAAAAGCACATCTGTAGGTCATGAAATGAATCCAAGTAGAAAAAAAAAAATCTGCGTCAGTTCAAAATTTCCACCAATGTTGATTCTTTACCGACTGAGATCCAAATGCCACAACATCGTCCAGAGTGAGGAAAGAGACGAAAGACCCGATGTACTGAGCAAACCAAGCTGTGGAATTCAGTTGTGGGTTGCTGGGGAAGTAACACTTTGGATTTGAGGCTAAAAAAAAAAGATGTTAACAATAAATAATAATGATAAAGTTCAGAATAAATAAAAATCTATTAGGGCTGGGCCATATCATAGCATTCACGGTAATACCGGTATAATGTCAGGCAATGATAAGAAAATTAAATATCGCAATAGAATATGGGTAAAACGCGCATGCGCAGTGCCTTTTTTTTTATACGCACATGGCGGAAAAAGCGTGCCGCCGACAGAGAATGAGAAGGGTGAAAGCGGATCGTTGAATGAAACCAATAAACCAGAATTGGTTTGTAAAAATGCTGAAACTTCAGTGGTGTGGAAATTGTTTAGCTTTCGTCCGTCAGATACACAACAAAGCACTATTTTTGGTAGAGCATGCTAGCAGGC